GCTGAATAATTCTTTGGGCCAATTGTCTCTTGGCTTCTTCGGCATCTGTTTCTGCCGCCTGGCCAATCTGCAGAAAACCAAACCTCTGCCTGTTCTGGGGGCTCCTGTGTTGGAGCAGTGGTGCTTTCCATTCATATCTAGATGGCAAGGGGTTGCGTGCCAACATTTAGCCTGATTTTTGCCAGTCTTACTCAGGCTGGACATAGTCGCATGCACTTCCAGCATTTCTCTTATTTTTAGAATAAACTATCCTTACTGTATAAAATACAGACAGATTGTAATAAAAGAAGTATTAACATTTTACCAGCCAAGGTGAAGAGAGTTAATGGGGAAGAAATTTCTGTCACCAATTCAGCAAGGAGTCACTGATGAGTTGTTTCTAAAATGGACATGAGTTGTTAAGGTTTTGGGAGCTAATATTTATGGTGCATTTTAATTAGCGCAATTTTAGTAAGAGGGAAGGATGAAGAATCCTAAGAGTTAGTTTTGTGGTTGAATGTAGTTACACCGAAATAAAAAAACTCTCCAGCAAGGTTATTCAAAGGACTACTTTTAAAAATTGAAGAGTAAAAGGAGGCATGGCAGGAAAACATATTTGTATCAAGAACAAATTAGATGGAGATAAAAGGGGAGGATTTTGCTCATATGGAAGGGACAAGAGAAATAGTTAGAGGTGTTATGAGGACTACTAAACAAACAACTCCCCCTCACTTTTCCACAGTGGCCTTAGTATACTTTTCAAACATCACTTAATTTGGACTTAGAGTCTGAGAGATATTAGCATTATCATTCTCAATTTGCAGGTGAGCAAACTGAGGCAGAAGGATGTTAAGTAGCAAGAGCTGTAGAAGAATTACACATGCAACCCGCTTTTCTTTTTAGAACCGTACTGTGAAGATCAATTTTTCTTTTCTCCCCTACTAAATGAGATAGACACTCAGAGATACTCCAAAACTGTTTGGACCAATGGATCACCTTCCCCTAGCAACATTTCTGGTCGACCACTAGTGCCCTCCTCGGTAAGCTTTTAATTGTAAAGGAATTCCAAGTGCAATCTGCAAGCCACTTGCTACGGCAGACCGCATTTTGGGAATTACTGAATAAAAGAATTTCAGTACATGTATGCCACACCTAACATCTATTTCACCTCAGCCTTGAACAAGAAAATCAACCAGGAGATAAGTGCACTGAGTTAAATGTGAGTGCAGGTTGAGGGAGCCGTGATAAGGGATGTTTAGAAGAACCAGACACTGAAAGCTCAAGTCATCCTAAAGATTGGTCAGATGAAATGAAAGAGTTGAGCATTGGGTCCAGTAAAATTTAATATTTCAATGCATGATGTTGAGTAAGGAGGGCGCTGCCACTGTGGATGATATAAAGACATTAGGAAATGAATGGACGTGCAAATAACAAAGACTTTTAGAGAAGACTATGCACTGAACTACAGCTGGCAAAACCATGCAATACCAGAACAGCTCTGCCATGAGGGACCAGGAGCGAACAGGCAGTGTACTGCAAGTGAGCTCACTGCAGGATCTTAATGCTAGCAAAAAGAAAAAATGTTAGACTGGCCAGTATGTATAGAGACAGCATGTTTATAACTAGAGGCAGCAGAAGAGGCAATAGAGACAAAGCAAAATACAGAAGAGAAGTGTGTAGACTTCTGGGTTCATCATTATCAAACAATTCATTAATGCACAAGTAAATGTATTTCTATATTAAATAATTATTTGGGGGCAGCACACTTGCCTTTATAGCTGTGTGTGAAGCACTTAGGACATCACTGAAGTTAGAAAAATCTTTTCACCAGCATTAAGAGTCTTTGCAGATGACTGTTCTAGGAAAACCTAGAGAGATCAAGACTATTTAGTACTTACTGAAGACTTGATCTGAAATAATTTTTGAAATGGCAAAGTAAAGCTTGTATGTCAACAGAAAGACAGACATTGTAATAAATATTAAAGTTAAATGAAAATGCTATTTTCTCTTAAAAAAGAAATTCAAATAATACAAAAATTATTTTGTTGGAATTTATTTTTTTCCTATTCATTCCTCGTTGTTTAAAGATCAAGTCCAAAATACGTGCCATTTGAAGAACAGATAAAAGATCAACAGTGGAAAGTAAGATATAATTATTGGTTTAGTGGGTTTCATGCCAACTAGGGTTTTCTCTTATCATTCTATATGCAAAAAAAAAAAAAAAAAGGAGGAAGTATTTTTAGATTTTTCTCTCTTCTCTACCTTTCCCTTTTCCATTCTACTACGGAGGCAGCCAGAGTTAAAATCATAAAGATAACCTTTTTACAAACAAACAAACAAAAATCCTCAAAAAGCCATTTTTTGTTTTTTGGGGGGGGGGGGGAAAACTCTATTTTGATGAAAATGTAGTGAACACGGATGGGCTATCCAGCCATTAAGGGGTCCCTATACATGTGCAGGGAGCCTGCTCCCATTCTGCGCCCAATTTCTGGAGTGGAAATTAATGTGCTCCAGCAGACTCTAGCATCATGTGTAACAGCGTCCCCATGCTGAAAAATGGCAGCAGGGCGTTTTGGACTAAAGCTTGTTCAATGAGCTGTAGTTCAAAGCACCCTGCTGCCATTTTTCAGCATGGGGGATGCAGATACACATGACGTTTGGGTGCTTTTAATTAGCACAGCTCACTACTTAAAACGCCCCCCTCTGCATCCCGGAGCACGTGTAAAAATGCCCAAGGTTCCCAGTGCAGTTGGTTTTGGGTGCGATATGACAACAGCATGCAACCAAAAACATTAGTTTCTCTATGCAAGCTCTTCATGCCCGTTTTTCTATGTTAGTAGTTTTTGGCAGACTTTGAACTTCTCAGTATAGATAATAAAGGCAGCAAGGGCTAGGGTTAGGCTCAACAGTCTTTTGTACTCGGGTCTAAAATAATAAACAGCTATTCCTTGTACAAGGTGACGAGGCTGAGGTTCACGAAGTCACCTGGCGAGAGGTCATCATTATTGCCATTGAGTTCATCTCTGAACTATATCTGACCCTGTCTCAAATTCTGTTGAAGGGTGGCATAATAAAACTTGCAGATAAGAAGGTAAATGATGGTCAGGTCTTTCTTTTTATTTTGTTAATAAACATTAAGCAAGAAAGTGCCTCTTTTCCCTCTGTTCGCTTCCCCACAAAGTATTACTATTTTGTTTTGACAGGGCATGGCTTTCCTCCAATCAGTTCAGGCCCAAACTGTAGTCCCCATAACCTTGCGTATAAACTAAAGCCCACAAGCCTTCAAAGAGGCATTTATATGGGTGTGTATATTTTTGGCTGAGGCAAAACACAAAGACTTTTTTACTTTCATAATAATTTGAAGACCACAGTGGTGAAGGCAAACTGTACGCAGAGTAAGGTGGCTTTTGATTTACAGCCGCATCTCTGGGTGGCTTTCTTTTAAAGAAAGATGCTTTCTGAGACCTTTTTTTAGCTTTTTCAAATGACATGCTCAGTCCTGCACTTGCCTGTGCTGTGATTTCATTAATAGCATTATCAAACTGATAACATTAAGTACCTTAACGGTAGCTGTATTTAACTGCTTGTTTCAAATTCACCAACACAGGAGCTCAAATACTTCACTTGCACATTCGTCTTGAAAACTGTGATCCTTGAAAATTAGGTTTAAAGAAGCATTTATCATTGATTCCATCCCCTCTTTCC